AGACCAAAATGACGTAGAAGTTAACAACTGTAGGTCACCGTATGGCCTTCAATATTGAGCAAATGTATACCGCATCGTAAACTAAAAAAGGCCCCAAAATTTTTGAAATTGATGATTAGTTCGCCTGCTTTAGCTAAAAGCCTTAAATTATACAAAATTTCATATGCAATGGTAAAAAGCATCCAAAACATAAATTCAGTAAAGAAATAAACGTGTGTGTCCCAAAACGAAACTTTACATAACGTTTCTAATATTTAACGGCGTTTTTCTGACGTTCTACCTCCATAAGCCTGGAAATGTCATGGCGGGTCACATATGTTGACGTCGCCGCTATCACCAAACGGAATATGGGATCGCTATGTCTCACTTCCTCGATGAAATGTTGCGGACTCAACAAAAATTTACTATGGTCATTCTCTTCTCATACATAATTATTGTGAATTCAGCTATAAAAGACCCCGACATGAAAAATGTGAAACAATTCAAACGAGAAAACTAACGGACGAATTGATTAAATACAATTTACGAAAAAAAAATATCATGACAGACATGAACCAACAACGACAACCACTGAATTACAGGCTCCTAACTTGGAACAGGCACATAAAGAATGTGACGGGTTTAAACATGTGTGACAGTGGTGTAACAGCACATCATAAATACAAACTGTAAAAATCACTTCCAAATGACTTAACTCAAAAGACTGGTACGAAGCACAAAAAAACCAACCAAGATAAAAATAAAAGACACTAAATTCCGATATAAGAGTACTCGCAGTAACGGAAAGCTAGTTCAAGGCCAATTACAACTACTAAATCATGTTTTTCCAGACTAAAGTATGAATCAGTACACATTCATCGGATTTAGCGTAAAGACGACATAAACCGTCTATATTTCATTATTTTCTTTATGTCACTTTTTATCTGCATGAATACAATGTTGTACGACTCTACTAAAGTTTCATTGTAGTATCTGATCTATTTTTATGCCCCCGCTGTAGCAGAGGGGGCATTAAGTTTTACCCTTGTCCGTCTGTCCGTCCGTACGTCCCAAAGTTGGTTTCCGTTCTCTAACTTGAGTTTGCCTCAACCAAAGTTTACACAATGCTTATTACCACAAAACACAGATCAAGTTTGAATTTTGGTGGCGTCACTATAACCGTTTTTGAGTTAATATGTCCCTTTACAAATGGAAAAATTGCTGAATTTTTCGTCAACCAAATGTACTAAAACTTATACACAATGCGTATTACCACATAATACATATCAAGTTCGAAATAAGTTGGCGTCACTTTTACTGTTCTTGAGTTATGTCCCTTTCTAAACATAAAAAATGATGAATTTTTCGTTTTCGTTCTCTTACTTTAGTTTGCCTTTACCAAATGGTGTGAAACTTATACACAATGCTTATTACCACATAATACAGATCTAGTTTGAAATTTGGTGGCGTCATGTTTACCGTTCTTGGATTATGTCCCTTTCTAAACATAAAAATTGCTGAATTTTTCGTTTCCGTTCTCTAACTTTAGTTTGCCTCAACCAAATGTTGTGAAACTTATACACAATGCTTATTACCACAAAATACAGATCAAGTTTGAATTTTGATGTTATCACTTTTACCGTTCTAGAGTTATGCCTGTTTATAAATCGAAAAATTGCTAAATTTTTCGTTTCTGTTCTCTAACTTAAGTTAGCCGCAACCAAATGTTATGAGATTATACACAATACTTATTACCTCAAAACTCAGATCAAGTACAAATTTTGGTAGCGTCACTTTTACTGTTCTTCAGTTATGTCACTTTATAATTTCATATGATATGCAAGCGGGGACATCATCTGTGTCCCATGGACACATTCCCCATTTATTTCTTAATTACATTAAAATTTAGCCCACATTCAGTGGCACACCAAGCATTGTATTTAAAAACACTTTTATTTGAAAGGGAACAAAAGATTCTTTTTTGTTAATATATTGAATTTCCCCTCTTAACCTTGGTAACATTTGAAAGTTACACATAAATTATTTATGAAAGTGAAATTCGTATGAACATTTTTTTAATAAAAACACAAAGATTTTATTGAATTGTGTAGCAATTTTATCCCATTGTTATCATTATTTTTATGCCCCCGCCGTAGCGGAGGGGGCATTAAGTTTTACCTTGTCCATCTGTACGTCCGAATTTTGGTGGCGTCACTTTTACCGTTCTAGAGTTATGCCCCTTTACAAATGGAAAAATTGTAGAATTTTTCGTTTCCGTTCTCTAACTTAAGTTTGCCTCGACCAAATGTTATGAAACGTATACACAATGCTTATTACCACAAAACTCAGATCAAGTAAAAATTTGGGTAGTATTTGGGTATATAATAGATATAGGAAGATGTGGTATGAGTACCAATGAGACAACTCTCCATCCAAGTAACAATTTATAAAAGTAAACCATAATAGGTCAAGGTACGGCCTTCAACACGGAGCATTATATGCAAGCTGGGGCATCATCTGTGTCCCATGGACACATTCCCCATTTTTTCAAGGTAAAATCATGTATGCATATTGATATGCAATGACAATGATCCTTGACGGTGCCATATGGTATTTCCCAACAACCAATTATTGATTTATACCTGTTTACTTAAAACAAAATTCGTCATATTTGTATCTAAGACTTCATCGTGATCTTTCATTTACGTCAAGGCAGATTGTGTGAATAAAAGCACGGATCAAAGACTTACAGTAGCAAATGCTGATACTTAGTAAGTGACTTTTGCGCCAGAATCATATCTACGTGTATAAGTATTAAGTTAACGTTTCTTCTGTAAGCACGACTCGTTTCTCAGGAACAATCTCGTCCGTCAAAACAAACATTAATTTATTGTTGGTGTTTAAACGCCACTTTCAGCACTCTTGATCGAATCATGGCGATAAGTTTATATTGGAAGCCAGACGAACCAGGGAGAAACACCGACGCTGTCACACCCAGAGCGAATTCCTAGGAAGACGGGTATTTCCAGTTGAGGATTCTGATTTTATTCATTTTTGTCATTATTATTACTATTACTAATACTATTATGATTACTGGTGTAGCTTGAAAAAAATCTCGGCCTAACTAAGGGTCATTAACCAAAATACGAGAAAAGACGATATAACAAAACATTACTTGATTAATAGAAACTTCAAAAGGGGAGTATATGTTTTGTTCCAGAGACAGACAATTGTGTTTCCGGATTAAAGTCAGTAATGTTTTAGTGGTTTGTTTAACGCTTTTATTTGAATAATCGCGTATATCAAGACCATTTACCGTTTGCAGCTTTCCGTACTAAATAGGAATTACATTATTTTACAAGAATTACATAGTTTAATCGTTTACTTTTTGCATTTTTACTTTCTCGATCCATGCGACAAGTATATATGCTTCTCTACTCTTATTGTAAAAAAAAAACCATGTGTTTCACGATTTAAATAAATAGGGAATGTGTCCATGGGACACAGATGATGCCCCCGCTTGCATATAACGTTATAAAGGGACATAACTCAAGAACGGTAAAAGTGACGCTACCAAAATTCGTACTTGATCTGAGTTTTATGGTAATAAGCATTGTGTATAAGTTTCATAACATTTGGTTGAGGCAAACTTAAAGAAAGAGAACGGAAACATAAAATTCAACATTTTTTCCATTTGTCAAGGGGCATAACTCTAGAAGTGTGAAAGTGACGCCACCCAAATTCAAACTTGATCTGTGTTTTGTGGTAATAAGCATTGTTTATAAGTTTCATAACATTTGGTTAAGGCAAAATAAAGTAACTTAATATTATTGTTATATACATATACACATTCATGGATCTACAATCTGCCGATACCTGTATCTTGGCATTGCACAAGGTCATGTTTTTCTCTGACTGTTTATGACGTCTTTACACTAAATCTATTGGATGTTGGATGTGTACGGATTGATAATTTAGTCTTAGATGCATGATTTTTTTTAAGTTGTAAGTGGCTTTGAACTAGCTGTCAGTAACTGCGAGTACTCTCAGATCTGTACTTAGTGTCTTTTTGTTGTTTGGATGTACAAGTACCCGGCCACGTCCACTTGTATTTGTATTATTTGTATTTTTATCCATCTGATGAGTTAAGCCTCTTTCAACTGATTTTTATAGTTCGTTCTTATGTTGTACTGTTACACCACTGTCCCAGGTTAGGGGGAGGGTTGTGATCCCGCTAACATGTTTAACCCCGCCACATTCTGTATGTATGTGCCTGTCCCAAGTCAGGAGCCTGTAATTCAGTGGTTGTCGTTTGTTTTAATGTGTTACATATTTGTTTTTCGTTTATTTTTTGTACATAAATTAGGCCGTTAGTTTTCTCGTTTGAATTGTTTTACATTGTCATTTCGGGGCCTTTTATAGCTGACTGTGAGGTATGGGCTTTGCTCATTGTTGAAGGCCGTACGGTGACCTATAGTTGTTAATTTCTGTGTCATTTGGTCTCTTGTGGAGAGTTGTCTCATTGGCAATCATACCACATCTTCTTTTTTATATTAGAAAACAGAAACGAAAAATGCAGCAATTTTTCCATTTGTAAAGGGGCATAACACTAGATCGGTAAAAGTGACGACACCAAAATTCTAATGTATTTTATGGCAATAAGCATTATGTATAAGTTTCTTAACATTTGGTTGAGGAAAACTTAAGTTTGAGACCGGAAACCAATTTCGGGACGTACAGACGAACGGACGGACGGACGGACGGACAGACGGACAAGGGTAAAACGTAATGCCCCCTCAGCTACGGCTGGGACATGAAAAGTGTAAAAAAAACATAAAGAACATCTCCATATATTTATATTATTCTTTAAAAGTTGTTATTGAATTTTGTAGCAACAGTTGTTTTCTGTTCGTTTGATTGTGACATATGGTCTTCTAAACAATTTAACATATCAATTATTGCTACTTTAAAATAAAAATTCATCATATCTGTTAATATCGTTATCTTTCATTTACATCAAGGTAGGTTGTGGGAATAAAAGCACGGATCAAAGACTAACAGTAGCAATTACTGATAACTAGTAAGTGACTTTTGCGCATTGTGATAAGTATATATAAGAAGACGGACAAACCGGGGAGAACCCCCGACACTGTCACACCCAGAGCGAACTCCTAGGAAGACGGGTATTTCCAGTTGAGGAGACTGATTTTATTCATTTATGTCATTATTATTTACTATTACTACTAATATTATGATCAATGGTGTAGCTTAAAAAAAAAGCTCAGCCTAACAAAGGATCATAAACCAAAATGCGGGAAAAGACGATATAACAAAACATTACTTGATTAATAGGAACTTCAAAGAGGTAGTATACTAGTATGTTTTGTCTCAGAGACAGACAATTGTGTCTCCCATTTCAAAAACTTTTTTGGCAACTTTAAGTCTGAAATTGTTTTTATGGAATGTTTAATCGTTTTATTTGAACACCGTTTGCACTTTTACGCACTAAATAAGGCGACAAAAATTACATACTTTTAATGTTTACTTTTTGAATTTTTATTCTTTCGATCTAGGCGACAGGTTTATTTGCTCCTTTACTCTTATGGTTACTCCAATGAGATTTTTTAGAAACTTTTTGAAAATTAACTCGCAGACGGTTAAAATTGACAACCAACTGTCAATCATGATCGTTCAGACTTTTAACTTCTTTATAAAGGTATATGAATGTCAGAAGTTATAAATTAAAGCAAATACGAAGTATGAATTAAATACTAGTACTGTTTTCCTTTTATTTGTTATGGAACATAAGATAATTATGGTAATAAAAGTAATATTTTTTTACAGCCGGTCACCAACAGAATAATAATGGCTGACGAGAAAGCATTAACCTATATAGAGGCTAGTCCCCAAGAAGATGCCAGTGCATACGGTGCTAATTATGGGGCCCACAGAGAAGGAATGACCAAAGAAGAGGTTGCAGAATATTATTCAAAATGGGGATATAGCGGAAAGTACGAAGAGGTAAACAAAACTGAGAAAAGAATAAATTGTTAAAGTACATTCAAGTGGGTCGACCAAAAAGGTTTGAAGTTCCGACTTTTACTGGAAAAAAATGTATTTATATAAAAATAAGAAGATGTGGTATGATTGCAAATGAGAAAACACTCCTCAAGAGACCAAATGACACAAAAAATAACAACTATAGGTCACCGTACGGCCTTCAACAATGAGCAAAGCCCATACCGCATAGTCAGCTATAAAAGGCCCCGAAATGACAAATGTAAAACAATTCAAACGAGAAAACTAACGGCCTAATTTATGTACAAAATAATGAACTAAAAACAAATATGATATACAGCAACAAACGACAACAGTTTTATTGCTATAATTCTTATACCTGCAGATAGTGTGGCTCAAAATAAATAAATGAAAACAGTCAATTGAGTTTCTACATCCACAACATGTTCCCTCTTTTCCTGATAAAAACAAAATATGGTTGCCATTTATTTCCGATTATCGATGGGCACAAACAATTAAGACTACTATAGAGTCGCACTAGTACATGTAGCAAATTTTCTAAATCCGGATGACTTTGTATCGTGAACTAGTTGCAATGTTTAGTGTTGAAGGCCGTGCGATGCCCTTTGGTTGCTTACGTCCACGTCATTTGGACTGTGGTGGATAACTAGCTATGTCATTGGCAATCATATCATATCTCCTTATTTCTGTATTGCAGTATAAAAGATATTTTTGTTATCTTGAGGAGCCCATTACAGGTCACGGAGCGAGTTTGCGGTAAACATATTTTTATGTCTTTATAAATTTTATTTTAAGTTCGTCCTCTTCAAAGATGAACGATTTTATACCATAATCGGGGAATATAAATATATATTAGTGAAATTTATTATTTGTTCTTAATAGGATCTTTGCCCAGAGAGATACAACGGTCCAAAATATGGCGCAGAGGCTTTAGCACAGGCGTATCTGGGTAACCGAGAATCTATACACATCTTGGACATAGCCGCAGGGACAGGATTTTTAGGCGAAGAGGCAAGTTAGTTCGGTGTCACATTAAAATTTCTGGCTTGATAACAGATGTCTCTCGATTTTTCATATAAAATGAACGTTAAAATATTTTTCAATCCTCATTAGGGAGCTACCATTTGATTTTTATGGGGGGGGGGGGGCTAGGATGAAAAATTTTGTCCTGTTTTTTTTTTTTTTTAGTTGTAATCTCTGTCCTGACTTTTTATTTTTCACTCTATTCGGTCCTGCCTTTTTTTTTTATTAGTTTATCCTGAGTTTTTTTCCATAAATTGTCATCCTGCATTTTTTTTTTTGCCAAGTTGCTCATCCTGTCTTTTTTTTACTCAAAACTCCTGTCCTGCCTTTTTTTCAAATTTCATCCTAGTTTATTATATAATTAAATATAAAATTCTTATTTTTTAATTAGTACATTTTTTTTTAATTAGTTACATAAGCGAGGATTTAAAAAAATAGACGGTTTAGATCCAGCTGAAGGCATGCTTGCAATGGCAAGAAAAAAGAACATTTATGGTAGACTTATCTGTGAATTTATATGCGAAAAAAGACTTCCAGTTGAAAATGGTAAGATAGCTCATTGTTACATGTATTTGCTCTTGTTCATTCTTATCAAGATTGAAGATGACGATATTGTTGGTTTGTGTGTTAAATTATACATGATTAGACATGAACTCGACTCAGAGAGAAATACACTTGCTCTAAAATAGTTATTTCATTTTAACAAAAATCCACGTGATCGTTTTCGAAGTAGACCTGTTCTCATTTGGAAAAAACTGAAATTACTATTATACCTAAAGAGGAATTTTAATTCCCGTTTTATTAACTGGAGCAATTAGTGCCACTTCCAATAATACAGAACTTAAAGTGTTTAAAGTCTATCAACATCTGGTTAAACGTAATTTTATCAAATTTGTTCTAGTTCAACATTAGAAAAGTGTTAGTGGACATTATAATACACAAAACAATTTCAAAGTTCTTTTCGATCTTAAGGAAATATATTTTCCTCTTTAGATGGCGGAAACGAGGGCGTCGGCTTGCATGTGCGGGGTATAAACATATTTATCATATACTTAGCATTAGTATGGTTGTTTTTTTCATATGTATAACGAGCGGAAGTAAACTAGCCATAAATTCACACCAAGCTGATTACCCAAATCAGCCATATGTGACGTCACGTGGTCGGGCTGATATGCGGTTAACAGCCTGGGTGCGTTCGTACATCAGTTGTATATGATAAAAAAATTAAAACTTCTCGTTTTCCATATCGTCCCGGGTATCAGCCCTCGACTAACGTATCGGTCTCATATGGGGGTCTCGGGATAATACCCGGGTCGATATGGAAAAGGCCATGTATTAATATGTATTTATCACATATTTGATAAGAAAACATTGGGTTTTGCATATGTAATAACCGCAAAATTGTCCTACTCATACTGCTGCCCGGGGCAAAAAAGTGGTTATTGGTTATTGTGCCCCGATTCCAAATGACGTTACGTCATTGCTTCCTTAACGACAATGGCGAACAATGACGGTGTTTGTATTGAAAACTATATATGAGAATTCTACTACAATGGCCACTAGTAACAATGTCCAACCAACTATTATCGATTTCGCCCTAGTTATGTCAAATTCTCGCTTTTGTGTATTACCATATTTGAAAATAAGGGGAGAAGTAATAATAAATTTGTATGCAGTAAATGAAAAAAGAAATCATGGAAAATGTGATTAATCTTTTTAGATTTTACCTGTTGTGGTTAATTAAATAGTTATAATTCAACTTTATAAATAGATTATAGCATGTCTTTTCCATATTGGCCCTGGTATTATCCCTCGACCCATATCGGCCCTCGGCTAAAGCCTCGGGCTGATATGGGAGTCTCGGGTTGATACCAGGGCCAATATGAAAAGGGCATGTTATAATCTATAAGTATTCACTTCCAGTAAGGTTAGGGACGTCAATGCCATATCACTTGACCCCATAGGTGAAGAAATATGGCCAACTGGACTTCTCCCACCCGGCATTAAAACATATGCTTAAGATGAACATCTGTTAGGCCCGCTGTACAGGATATTATTATATTAATACGCAGTCAAGTCTTGTCGTAATGGGGACGTTAAACCCGATTCCTCATGTAAAAGGGGATGCCACGCTCGCTGCACGCTAAAGAATTGTTACAGCAACTCATTGGAGCTCCGTGAGTGGCTTGTTGTAAAGCAAAATATCTGTCCAGAGTTCACTATCTCTAAGTGACAGCTACAATTACCCGTCCTTTATCCCACTATACCCACTTTGCACAGCCAATATATAGAATTTATAATTAAATTAGTTCTCATCCTAAACAAATGAAGCATTAGCCACTAGACGGTAGGCAAAAACACCAATCAATCGATCCACCACTCTCTTCATATAAAGAACCCGAGCAGAAATTATTTTTGAGAATGTTACAAGGCCTTAATACTTTGAAACTCAATATTTCAATATGGAAAGTTTAATCCTCACTTATAACCGCCTCGGTGATCTACTGGTAGCTTGCTTGCCTCGAGTGCGGGAGGTCGTGGGTTCGATCTTAGGCCGCGTCAAAACAAAGACTTTAAAATTGATATTTGCTGCTTATCCGCTAAGGGAGCTACCATTTGATTTTTATAGGGGGCTAGGATGAAATTTGAAAAAAAAGGCAGGACAGGAGTTTTGAGTAAAAAAAAAGGCAGGATGAGCAACTTGGCAAAAAAAAAAGGCAGGACAGAGATTACAACAACAAAAAAATGCAGGACAAAATTTTTCACCCTAGCCCCCCCCCCCCCCCCCCCCCCCTCTATAAAAATCAAATGGTAGCTCCCTATAAGCACGCGGCATGCAATGCTGGTTTTTCCGTTGTCAGAACAATGTGTCCGGGTAGGGTGCATTTTTTTTTCTTCTGTGAACTAGCATTGAGTACGTAGTAAGAACAGACATTCGTTATATCAGAGTTTAAGATATGGCCGGGTTTTAGCTAGACGCCTTTACGCAGACTCACCTTGTGAGATACTAACGCTTGAAAAGTCCGGCTTATAATATTGATTCGTTATAGTAAATATTAGGATGTATTCGTATCTTTTTAACATTTTGTCGCCCTGAATGTGTATATTATATCTGCCACTGCACTTTAAGAAGCAATTAATCAATCCTATACTTCAGATACATATGATTGTACAATAATTGCTGGTGGTATGGGTGAAGGTCACATTCCATGTGTAGCTTTACATGAAATGATCAGAATTACTAAACCAGGTAAGACGACAGTACCTTATGTTTTGATATGAATAGTTTAACTTTTGATTTTTTTTACAAAAACCATTTAGTATCGAAATTTACACACACACATACATACACATTAATTAGTATAGTAGATAAAAACTGTAGATTTCATAAATGAATTTCAAAGCCAAATCCGTAAATCGATCGACCGACAAAACAATGCAAAAAAGGATAAAAAGACAACTTATTTAAAAAAAAAACAGAAAACAAACAGTAAAAGGAATACACTCAGACCCGAGAGGGTAATGCCTTCATGTTTCTCTGTTGAAGTCGTCGTAAAACTCATGTTAAAAGTTAAATGGTATTGGTAAATCATTTGCAGTAATGAATCATGGACTAAAACAAACGAAAAACGGAATCAAAACAACGCCAAACACAAATAGATATTCCGTAAGAGTCAATCAAAATCTCATGATACTCGACTACATGTGTTGTGTATATGATTTCCGCCTCGGTATACAGGCGATTCGTCTTTAAAGTGTAAAGGAGGGGTTCTTTTTTTATCAGCACAAACAATTTGCAATTTTAATTAAAAACAAACTTTATCTTTTATCACACACAGAAACTCAAAAAATAATTTGAAACTTTGAAACCTCCCTCCTTTTTCACCTTAATGTTCAATGGAAACAAATTATGTTTTCATTTCCCTTCTGGAACTAAAAAATGTTTTTAAGGAATTTAAAATTGTGTTCCCGCCCAAACAAAAGATGAATTGTCGGTGCATAAGCAGCAGACCATTTCTGTGAAATCCTAATAGACAACAATTTTGTCGAAAATGAATAAGAAGCCTATTAAAAATCCATAATAGTAATAAGAGAATTGAGAATATTTTTACATAAGTTGTTACAACTATTAGATAACAGAAACATGATGCTTCCAAATGCTACTGATACGGTTAGTAACTTGTCCCTGTTCGTGGCAAGGTATGGACCGACTCCGATCTTAATTGACAATGATTGCCAGTTTTCCTGCCGACGTTCGACTGGTTCTGTTTAGTTACTCTGGTTTCCTAAACCATTAACAAAGGTAGCTGAAAGTAGCGTTAAAGACCAACATACAGTACACCAACCTACTCAACTAACTTTATATAAGTATATCTGATTTCTATGATGATTTTTTAATACACAAAAATGCTCCATCTCCTTGGTTTTTTTTATTTATATGTATCATGTTGCAGGTGGCTTAGTTGTTATAGTCATGAGAGAAGAATACTTAGACTATGTTAAAGAATATAAAGACAGACTAGAGGTTCTGATGCAGGAATTAGAAGATGCGGGAAAATGGGAAAGCGTCTCAAGAGTTATCGTTCCTAATTATTCGTTTGACAATAACGGAGTTATATTTAAATATAAAGTCTGTTGATTTCTTAGGGACATAGACTATTGGGATTTTACTGTTACTATTTAAATTGCGGGTTTTATTTTATTAACAAATGCAAGCACGAATCTTATTTTCTATTTAATCCTGTTAATCTCGGGTTATTTGAATACATTATGATTATGAATGAATCTATAGAATTTCATTATAATGACCACGTTATAATATCTGATAGAGCGATCCTGTATGCTTACACAGTTACACTTATTCAGTATGAAGGCAGCTTAGATTGAAATCAAATATATGTATATCAAGAAAATGAATCTCAATTGCGTATATCATTTTTTGTTTGTTTGTATAATGTAAATATACATGTAACAGTAAAATGATAAACAAATAGCGGGAACAATTATATGAAGAGATAACGTATGAGTGTTTTATAACTGACAGCTGTGATGAAAAATATTTAATATGCATTTTTAATGAAGTAAAAAACTAAATTCAAGCTGTCACTTGTTTATTTTATTCAATCTTCATTTAGTTTCCCGCCTACTTAATTTTTTTTAATCCCATAATGACCATTATTTTAAAGTACTCATGATAATGAAATAACAAAAAAAAAAAACTTTAAATTGATACTTCATACCTTATCATTTGCATGCGTCATACATGCCCTATGACCTACTAAATTATTGCAATATTTCATTATTTTGATACCAATACAAAAGTTGTTTCATTTGATTAATCTATAGCTAGATATATATCATTTAATTGTTTAATCTATAGATAGCTATATAGACAGATAGACAAGTTACATTTCCCTTAGAGGACCCATAATGGGCAAAATCGTTACAATGATCTCACTGATCACATTAAACATTTACAGTATAGATAATACATGAGTAATAGATCGGTCATGTAAAATAAGAAATAAGCAACGGCATAGAAAGTTGACCTTAAAATTGAGAATGGAAATGGGGAATATGTCAAAGAAACAACAACCCGACCAAAGAGCAGACAACAGCCGAAGGCCACCAATGGGTCTTCAACGCAGCGAGAAAATCCCGCATCCGGAGGTGGTCCTCAGCTGGCCCCTAAATAAAATTATGTACTGGTTCAGTGAAAATGGACGTCACACTAAACTCCAAAACATATAAAGGAACTAAAATTTAAAAAAAACATAATAGACTGACAAAGGCCAGAGGCTCCTGACATGGGACAGGCGCAAAAATGCGGCGGGGTTAAACATGTTTTGTGAGATCTCAACCCTCCCCCTATACCTCTAGCCAATGTAGAATAAAGAAACACATAGCAATACGCACAGTAAAACTCAGTTTAAAAGAAGTCCGAATCCGATGTCAGAATCGGTAACAAAAGAAACTTAGCAAAATGACAATGATACATAAATTAACAAAGGACTACTAGCAGTTACTGACATGCCAGCTCCAGACCTCAATTAAACTGATTTTAAGATTATGTCTTCATCATATGAAAATCAGGTACAATCCCTCCCGTTAGGGGTTTAGTATCATACCATCATTGAATTCTTTTGTACTAATCGTTATATGGTCAACATAGATTCTATCATTATATTTTTGAAATTGTTTTCGAAGAAGATCTAAAGATCTACATAAATTCTCTAATGATAACACTAAATGATTTTGCCTGAAGAACAAATACTGAGTGCCAATGAAAACGCAACACTTGTAAATTTCAAATATTTTAAAATATATAAATATTTTTTTTTTAAATGATTACCTATATCGGTTTGAAAATGAATCGTCAGACTTCTTTCGACAACTTTACGCTTGAATGATTTTAGAAAAAAAAGTTACGTGCTTGGTTACAGAAAAAGGGGGCACCGCTATTTTTCGCACGAACGATTTTTTCATTGTGTGTTTTGGAAAGCCTCGCTAAAGAATTTAACTTTCCCATCCTTTTTTGTAAGCCACTGCAATAAACTAAGGCTACATTGATGAAGTTTTACGGCCGACTGTTATACCGTTTATGGCTAGGCATCAAGATGTTAATCTTTTTCAGCAAGATGACGCTCGTGCACACTCCTCACGACTCACAACTGCGTTTATCAACAACAACCATGTTCAGACATTACCATGGCCAGCCTTTTCGCCGGATTTGAGTCCAATTGAACACTTATGGGATCAAATTGGACAAGCCGTAAGACGACGACAGCCACCACCAGTTACGCTGCGCCAACTCGAAATTGCATTGCGGGAAGAATGGACAAACATTCCACAACACCGTATCCGACGTCTGGTCAGGTCAATGCCACGTCGTTGTAGAGCTTGCGTTGCAGCACGCGGTGGACACATTCGTTATTGAGACTGTGAGTTAGTGAACTGTATGCATAACCGTATTGCGTTCGAATCGTGGCAATTGAACATTTTTGTTTGACTTTTATCTTTAGATAAACCCTTTAACTGTCATTAACAATTACTATATAGAAAATATTATTTTGTATAAAAATGTTATTTCTAAAAAACTTAGTGTTCCTTTTTCATTGGCACTCAGTATATATATCAGTGGAACTTAACTTTTGGCAATAACCCATTTGCAAACTTACGACATGTAATACAAACGCTGCATATATTCTTGGAAACAAGACAAAAAAAGTATTTGTGCCATGCCAGAACCTTTTTGATATCTTACTTTTACAGTATGAGTTTTGCTCATTGATGAAGGTCGTACGGCGACCTGCAGTTGTTAGCATCGTCCCATTGGCTTTCGTTCCACATTTCGTTACTTTATGTTTTCCCCGTTTGAAAATGGAAGATAACGAACTGCACTGAAAATGACAACGAGCAGAATTGTACCATTAAAAGAAACAAAGACTTGAAAATTTGTTTTTGCTGTTCCTGCGCGGAGCACGCGTCATTCAGTAAAAGCAAAGAGTTGTTGGCTCGGAGTAAGAATAATGTGTCTGCATGGGTAGGTTGACGTGTCTTCCTGTTGACTTTTACCCCAGGAATATATTACCTTAAGTTAGCTGTATTTGTTAAAACCTTTCGAATTTTTCGTCCTCAATGCTCTTCTATTTCGTACTTTATTTGGCCTTTTGACTTTTTTTTATTTCGAGCGTCACTGACGAGTCTTTTGTTCTTGGCCTGATATGGGCATGAACAATTAGCCGATCAAACCAACATCTTCATAATTCATAATTAGTCATTTATACCTCAATATGAAATATTGTTATGATCAATAACAGGTCTTGCTACGTTCATCTAAGAAATGTCAAAATTGTATGTAAAATATCCAAGGGAGTGTTCTCATTGTGCCATCCATTGCTTCTATTAAGAACATCAACACTTGCGTAGATACACTTTTGGAAATGGATGAGAAGAAAACACCAAACTTTTTAGTACCAGTTTTTTTGTTAGCCATATAAACATTGCTAAATTATCGTCTCTTTTAATAATTTAATTTAACATCCTTGCTTTATAGCATATTTCTGCATCGAAAAAAAAACTGTTCCATTTGCATACATTCAGTTTGACTTGTTATACGAGGAAGGCATTCACGATAGGTCATCAATAATAGCAGTGCCTGTGAAAAAGGTATAACAAAAGTACCAAACTCCAAAGTAAATTCAAAAAGGGGAAGTCCATAGAAACTGAAAATCAAACGTTATCAATCAACAGAACAAGTGAAAAACAACTGTCATATTCCTGACTTGATACAGGCATTTTCCGAAGAAAATGATGGGTTAAACCTAGTTTTATAGCTAGTTAACCCTACCACTTGTATGACAGTTGCATCACTTCCATTATATTGACAAAATTGGGTAAGCAACCCAAACAGACATGTAAGGTTAATGTGACGATAATTGGGATCCACAAGCCAAAACTCAGTGTGTAAACATACATCACAACTGACCAAAAAATTCAAACACATACAAAGAAATCTGACAAAGACGTTGACAAAGAAAGTGTTTGTAGTTGATAGTAAATTTTACAAAGACGCAAAAAAAAGTGTTTGTAGTTGATTTTAAATTCACAAAAACGCCGATAAAAAGGTTTTGTAGGTGATAGTACATACCATATATAGTATACACTTTCTCGATAAACTACGAATAAAGTAAACTAAAAATACAAGGGTAAACAAAATGGAAACACTGTAAAAAGCACTTGCGTTCGAATCGCACACCAGGAACCACCTGCACCAGGAACGCCCAAAGTCAAAAACACGATAGCGAGATGCATAAATACCGAAAGTCAAACGACCAAAAAATACACAATAGCACGAAGACAAACAGAGGGAAAACTGTAAAGTAAATAAAAAGATACACAACTTCAGCACATAGAATCTAAAACTCAGGACCATTTTGTATCACGAGTGAAATAGACACTGAATATTTATCTATTAGGTCTTGGTACTTTCCGATGAACTTTTTGAGAAAAAGAGGAGACGTTCTTTGACAAAACCCTTGCTCATTATTTTTTTGCACATACACCGATGACGTTTTTCAAAGTCTGAGTAGCAGCTGCAAGCTCTTGAATTTCGTTTGCGTTGAGAAATGTCTGAGTAGTGTCTGAAGGAACTCCGACTCATAAGAAAATACGAAAAGGTCGGCCAGGAGAGTTACCATAGGAATGCCGACAACCTGCTGGAATATTCTACCTCAAAATTCATCAAATATGTTGTCAATGATAAACTCCAGCATACTGATCACTTGTTCTTCTGCGTATAGCATGTTTTATTTTCGAAAGATGGTTTACTTACAATCCAAAATGTCTGAAGTCTAAATTCTTTACAAGAATGGACAAGACTGATAAAAACATACAGTAAGAGGATCGTTTTCAATGAATATTTTCGTTTAAATAATTTAAAGGTTAGTAAAGATTTTCATGAAGCTGGTTAGTCGACGTAAAAATTCAGTATACTGCGGCTTTTTTCACAAAAAATCTTAAGAGTAAAAATACTCGTAAGTCATACACATTTCAGTATAACTTCAATCAATTTTAATCGTAAGATTTTTTATGAAAAGAGTCGCTGATTATAATTCCTTAATTCTTATGCAATTAGGAATGTAACGTTAAACTCTATCTTATTTTGTTATTTTTTAAAACTAGAACTCCTTAAGTAATATTGTCAACAAGATGGTCAACAGGCATCTGAGAAAAAGGTCTTTGAACATATTAAACAAATATATTTGTATTGCTAAATAGTTTAATAAACGTTTGTGTCAAATTATAAATGCAACACAGAGCAAACATTAAGCATACACATGCACGAAATATAGAAGAAACATGGACTATTAAGTTTTTTCAGTCTTCAGTTCTAATGACTGCTTTAGCCGATTATTTTCACATTTTCCATGAAGGATTATTTTAATAATATTTGGTCTTTGAGTGTGACATAATGCATCTCACTAATTTAACTTATTAAATAAATGTTCTGTCAACTGTTTCATTCCTGATACATTCTAAGATGAAATGTTCTTCGTTTTCAAGTACACGGCACAGTTTTCAAAGTCTACCTTCAAAT